CCCCAAAACCCCAAAACCCCAAAACCCCAAAACCCCTTTGATGAAAAATCTGATTGAATTAGGTGATATTAGTCAGGGTGAAATACGAATATTTAAAAGCAGCGGAATTTTAATAAAAATAAAGATGAGTAAACCAAACCTAAAACTTAAACTAAAATCTAAAAGAGCCAATAGATTCACAACTTTAAGCTCTAAGAAACAAGTAATAAAGAGAAACCCTATCAAAAAGAAGGAAGAGTTCTACATTAAAACTTTCGATGAGTTTAAAACAAAGGATGATGACATGTTTAATGAGTTAATTGCAATAGTCGGCTCTAAAGCTACAAAAGCTTTTAAGAAAGACATAAAAGAAAGATCTTCTTCACAAACTAGTGCTAAGAAGCACAACTTAAGATATCAAAGAGATGAAAAAGTAGATTCCAAATTTGGAACACCTGATTGTATTGGAGAAGACTCTAAAAGAGGAAGCTCAGTGCCTGCAAAGTCTAAGGAAAATCTTATCAAACTCCTGAACGAAGAAAAATTAGTCTCTCTAGAGCAAGCTAAAGAAGAAAAGAAGGAGAGAAAAAGAAGCCTTATTGTAATTAGTGAGAGGTTTTTGAACACTAAAGGATCAAAGCCATTCATCCCTGAAAACAAGATCACCAATGGAGTCTATAAGAAGGTTTCTGAAATTTCCACTGATTGCAAATCAGTGCATAGAGGGTGAAACCCTTACGATGATCAATGTTTTACCAAAAAGAGATGTAGGAGCAGCAACCCAACAAATCACAGTAACTTCTTAGACAATTTGGACGACATGACTCCTCAAAAGCTAGACTTCACCAAGAGTCCAAGTACCATTAAATCAAACTCTAATAGTAAAGCTACTCCTGCAAAGAGGAGTAAGAGCACTTTAAAGATAAAGATTTCGCAATCTCCAGTAACTTATCGGAATGGGAAGTGAAATACTCCCACGATTGTGATCCCAAGAAGAAAGCTTAGTGCTGAGAGAGTAAGTCTGTTCTCCTTCTGATTGAATCATCTTCATCAGAAATCTTCAAATGAATCTATTATTTTAAAAGAAGCTTAGATAGTACTATTAGAACAAGAAAACTAAAGCTAGCATAGCATTTGATAATATTTCCTTTCTTATCCTCCAAGATACCATCTATACCTATAGAAGTCAAAAGGAAATAGCAAGGGACTCTGCCCAAAGCTAAAGATCAAGAGAAAGAACTCTAGTGTTGAGAAGCTCTACAGGATAGCTCAAACAGAGAAGAAACCTAAGCAGAATAATAGTCAGCTGAAAAGATATCAACCTCTGACTTCCGTTTGCCAGAGGCATTCTGCTGCAAAAGAGTCTGCCAAGAACTTATATGCTAGAGATGTAAGCAAGAGAGAAAAAGAGTTCATTAAGAACCCAGAAATCCAGTTCTATGACAGAAGCAAGGAAATTATTGCTGAAGAAGAGAAGCATTCCCAGAAAGAAATAGAGCCTATAAATGTGTGTTTCGGAGGTATCTCCCAATCTACCCAGAGAGAGTTTATGAATATGATCAATGGAAAAGAAAAAGATTCGGCTCATTCTAGAAACGAAAATTCAAATGTAGGTGAACCTTTCTTTGAGTATTTAAGCAACTTTGGTTTAGGTCCTTCAGAATGAAAACAAAGAGAATCAGATATCCAATAATAGTTCAACTATTAGATATGGTTCACCGAACAAGAAACACCACGAGCTGAGAAGCACAAGGAGAAGAAAGAGAGAGGAGTACTCACTCAGAACTCCAGAGGATATTGACAATGTGATAGATGTTAAGAATCTTCCATCTTGTGCTCAAAAATTACAATTTTAAGCATTACGTAGTATATTCTATATAATAAAGTCATCTTGGGGTTTTGGGGTTTTGGGGTTTTGGGGTTTTGGGG